GGCGGCATGCAGCCGGCGCTGGCAGAGGCGGTGGGGCAGAGCCCCGTAGCAATGCCCTGGAGCATCACCTGCACCCCGAGGTTTGCCAGAATGTGCTCCCTCTTGTAGGATTTGGGAGGGTTTGGAGCGCATGGGGGATAGATAGGTCCCCGCATCTGGAGGTGATGTCCCTGAGGAAAGGCCACCCCGCCGGAGTGCTGGCAGCCCGCCCTGAGCCCCGGGCTCACCCGCAGGACCAGCACCCCCATGTGCGTCACAGCCAGGTTGATCTGCGTCCCCTCGCCGTCGCTGGCGGGGTGCGGGCGAATCCCGTACATCTCCAGCTTCCTGGCCACATCCAGCAGCTGAACATCCGACTCGGCCGGCGTCTTCCCTCTGGAGACACAAACGTGCCGGGAAGCAACAAGAGTAAGAAGGCAGCTGCTGAAATGGGCTGAAAAAATGCCTTTATGGATCTGCATGTGCCGGCATCACACCTGTCCCGCTGCCGGCCCTGTCTTTGGCTGTGGGTGGTGGCCGTGGTGCAGAGCAGCCCTTACCCGTGTCGCCGGTGGTAGTGCATGATCTTGTTGTCCAAGTACTCCTGGTTGGGCAGGTACCTGTGGGTCGCCAGGTGCTGCTGGTCTGTCTCCTCGTGGAAGTCACCCAGCTCGGCTGCAGGGGACATGGGAGAGCATGGGTTAGTCTGAGGGAAGGTCACTGCAGGGAGAATCCCTGGCTACACAGGGATTCCCCTTCCTCCGGGGAAGGGACACCATCCCTGCAGGCACTCGCCTGCCCTTACACTGCAGCAGGTGGGAGACAAGCAGCGCCGCACTCTTGTCGCTGCAGGGCAGCTGCCCCAGTGCCAGGTCCTTCTTGATCTGGAGGGTGAAGAGGTACCTGTGGAGGGAGACAGAGCATGGCCTGGGAGGGGAGCCAGGCTCAGCAGGGAGCTGGGCACTGGCCTGAGCTGATCTGCTGCAGGGTGGTTGCCCCCGCGACTCTCCTGCCTCTCCCTTCCCTCACCCGTGTTTCAATCCAAGAGATGTGCGTCCACAGGGTCACAAAAGGAGTGACAGCCAAAGGCTGCAGCTGGACACCGCCATGGCCAGTATGCCCCTACCATTGAAATGCCCATTAGTAGGTTTCAGAGTTAACATTCCGTTACGCTTTGGACGGCATTTGCAAATGCCTAATTCGGCAGAACATTAGGTCTAATGTTCTGCAGAAGCACTGCCTTAGTTTTATTCTTAGTTCCTGTTCACAATGCTTTCTCTAAAACGTAAGAGCTAACGATGTCATTTTTAAAAATAAAATTAAGGTTCTTCTTTCAGAACACAGCTTGAGGCAGGAGCTAGACTGAGCAAAGACAGACTCGGCACCCAGCTGCTAAAGCATTTGGCAGTAAACAAATCGCAGCCTCTTAGACTGATCCTTCAACTGGATTTTGTCTAAAAACAGAGGATCAAGAAAAGATACTCTCTTGGGTTTTATTTTGTAAAGTACAGAGCTCTTTCATACTTAGGATAACCACCACTCACAGACAGGTTCGGGCGGACGAAGGTGAGGAATTAAACACATGCTTGGCAATTGCAAAACACAGGACTGTGCAGTATGGAAGTAACAGAACAAGTACTGTACCTGGTCAGCTCTTCTCGCAGATGGCCGGGGTCCACTGGGAAAAATTTCACCATAAATTTGAAAAGAATCTCCTTAGGATCTTAAAACACAACACCTTCATAAGTTTTCTTTTATACGTCTATTGAGAACATTTACAACTCTCTTCAAACATGCTGTCTCCTTACGGAGTACGCTATTCTGGGCCCTTACAAATCAGAGCTGAAAGCCCCGAGCATCAGGGACTCCAACCTGTCCCCCAAAATCCAGCCTGCCCAGATCCCCAATGTTACCAATGGAAGCAAATAGGGAGTTGGATGCCAAAATGACACTAAAGGAAAAAACGCCCCAGCATTTCTTTAAATTGCAAAGACTCCTGTCAGGAGGTGGAGCGGTGCCACGGCCAGAGCCCCCGTGTCATTGCCCTCAGCGGGGCTGGACATCAAACCCAGCCCTCCAAGCACTTGGGATGCAACAGCTCCATAGGAGGCTATTTGGGCAAAGCTTTTTTTGTGGGATGAGTGAGAACAAGTGGCCAAGCCCGAGGCAAAGAGTATAGAGAGAGGAAGGCAATTTTGTAGGCACCGACTGTCGCAGGGCACCGTGGGACAGCTCAGGGGCTCCTGGAGGGACAGTGTCCTGAAAGAGCGGGCCGGAAGGGACATGAAAGAAGAAACTGGTGCCTGAAGTAAACTACTGATGCACCCAGAGAAGGGAGGCTCTTTATCAGGCTTTCTCCTTACAGAAAAACATGCAAACACTGTACTGCAGCCTCCGCATGGCAAATACTGGCGGGGGGGTTCATGGCCTCATGCCCTTAACCATCTCCTAGTTATCACGTATTTGAGGAAAATATTGTTTGGTTCATTGTAGGAGCGGAAACAGACGTAGGCTGAAAAGGGCACTGCGTTAGCACCGGTTGTGGCCGCGACAGGGGATGCTGAGCCTGAATCCAGGTTGGGCTCCGCAGCATCACCGCGCAGCGGCACGGCAGGGGCTGGAGGGGAGCAGCAGAGGCTGTGAGGCACAGGGCTGACCCTGCTTCACGCATGGCTCCCACCACGCAGGGAGGGAACCACAGGGTAAAGGAGGGCATGCAGGGAGTCACGCTGCCGTGCTACCAGCACAGCCATGCGCGCGCGCGCACGCACGCAGCCGCCCACTCCTGCCCCGAGCTGCCAGGTTATTAACAGCTCCAGCCTAAAATGGTGCAGATACCAGATTGCAAAGGGAGTGGTATTTCTACAGGATTTTATATGGATTACGGTGTCTTTGCAAACCATCCTACCCGGCCTCAGGCTATAAAACAAGCTCAGGTAAACCAGAGCCCCCATCCCCAAGCAATCAAGGCTGCGCAAATGTGCCTGGGGTCGCTGGCAGTGATTTAGAAGAACTTTGTACTTGAAATACTTACTTTTGACTTGTTTTGTTATGGGTTTTAGTGGTTCCAACCAGACCTGAAATAAGGCAATGAAGTATTGGGTGAATAAACAGCAGAAAAAATGTGGAATAAAAGCAGCAGCAGCAGCATGCCAGAGTGCAACACGAAAGTGTTGGCCAGCTTGGCTGCTGCAGCAAACCATCCTGCTGGACAGCCCTGCACGGATGGCTACGGAGAAACCCCATGGGCTTTGCCAAGTGGCTTGTGGCTCCCCTTGTAACTTCCATTTTCAAGGTTTTTTTGGCATCGTGGCAAACCTTTCCGTTGACATTTTCCATCTGGTATTTCAGGGAGGTGCCAGCAAGGCCCTAGCTGTGCGGGCGGTTGCTGCGAGGATGCAGCACGATGCAGCACTCTGCCCCCGCGCCGTGACCCGCACTCACGTGGTTCCCAGCCTGGCTGCAAAACTCCAGCCCAAAGTACTCCTTCTCTGCAAGGTTGAGGTGGCTGCAGGTGAGGTTGAACAGCCCTTTTCCGCAGGATTTTTGCTGGCAAACAAACACAGCACAGAAGCAGTGGGTTAGGCAAGGCCAACAGCAGTGATGATGGGATTTCAGTGAGATGGGGGAGAAGTTTTAGCTCCCTGCCTTCACCCTAAGAGGAGCTGTGGGATTTTTCCTCATTATGCTGCAGCAAAACCTTAGTCAATAAATGCTGCTGGCTTTGGCACGTGGGACAGGACAAATGCACACTGCATGACGCTTGCCTCGGCTATTGGATATCAGATTCCTTCTCATCACTTCTCTCCTTTATTAAGGAACTTAATAAAACAGAAAGGAAGAGGAAAGAAATCTTGCTTTCGACTCACCTTTTCCAACCATCACTGTCCGTCCCTGGCAAACTGCTCCCCGGGATGAGCATCTGCTGGAACCCGGGACAGCCGTGGCAAACATGCTCAATTACGAGCAAACGGGAGCGCACCTCAAACCTGTGCAGCCGGCGACCGGGCTGCCAGGGACAAGCTGCTATTCTGGATAATGGTAATTAAGAGCAACAGGATCCTGCGGAGATCCTGCGCCTCGGGCCCTGGGTCATGCGTGCACTTTCGCAGTATTAATTAAGTTGCACTACATGCAGGTAACTACACCAGGCTGTAGTTACTCCCAGTAGACTGAAATGCTTGGCGGGTGTTTTGTTGGACTTATTGCCAGCGCTGTGCAACACCACTGGGGAGCAACCTGGGAGGCCCCCAACTTTGGAAAAACGCTCCAGAAAGCACCAGAAATGAACCTGGCAGTGACCCACAGCAGCAAAAACCCAGCTGCTCTTTTATCAGCTCATGAAAAGCAGATTAAAATGAGCATGGGTTAGTGCAAAAGCAAGGCAGAGCAGAGAGGCCAAGTGAGACAGCTGCTAAATGACGGCATTTGGGGTGCTGGAGGTGAAGGCAGGCTGCAGGTGCCCGTGCCAGCGGCTGCTCCCGGCAGGGATAGGAGGGGCCCCAGCTGCTGGCGGTGATGCACACTAATAACCACCTTTCACGGCTTCTCCTGGGGTGAAATTGCTGGCTCCGTGCTGAAAGGCTGCTGAAAAGCGATAGCGTAATAACAGCATTGGCTCTGCAGCACTCCTGGTTCTCCTCAAAATTACTAGATCACAAGGGTAATTAAAACAATTACAAATGTTGATTTCCAAGCTAGAATTTTCTAGCATGAAAGGCCTTGGCCTTTGTCAGGCAGCCAGGAAAGACGAGGATTTCTTACCCGCTCATTACCCACCACATCTGCTCAGAGCAACCTGCTCTCCTCCAAGCCCAGCATAGCCCAGGTCAGCGGAGATGAGCGGCTCCATCCCCAGGAAAACCTGCTCACTGGGGAGATGCAGGGATGGTTCAAAAGCAGAGGCTTTCCTCTCGCAGAGTGGCACTTGCAGGTGCCCCATCCCAGGTTCGTGGGGTACCGAGGCCCCGACTGGCACTGCTGTGAGCACCAGGGGATGGCTGTGCTCAGGACAGCACCAGGCAGAAGCAGGGGGCTGTGATGGAGAAGGACAGTGCGAGAGGCAGGAGAGTGACGTGTGGGGCTGGGCACCCCACGCCTGACCCTAAATTTGCCTTCAATGACATTGCAGGGCCAGGTTGGCACCTGCAGGCAGAAAGCCCTGTGTAGAGGTCAGTGGGAAGGAGATGCTGCACTCGCCCCTCCTCTCCACGGTGGAAGCAGCTGGGACTGTAAGCAGGGTAAGGAAGAAGATCCAGCAGCCTGTGTGGCACATGGGGACAAGCACACCCGTCCCCAAAGAACACCCTGGCAGCACATGTGCTCCAAGAGCAATGCCACATTTCTGCAGCGTTCCCCAGGCTGCTGCCCCCAGGTCTGTAGTTTGGAGGGGAGCGACAGCTCGTGGGATTTGGTGTGATCTTTCTCCACCACCTCAGGACGTGTACCCGTCAGTGTCTTCTGCACGGCTGCAGTTGGCATGCACTGCTGTGCACCAAAAGCCACCAGCCCCGACGCTCCCCATGCCCTCGCTGAACCAGCTCGCGTGCAGCCAGCTCTGCACATCTCCTGGCAGCAGACTCCAACTTCTACTCATCATAAGGGACACAAGACCCTGGCAGACTTTGTCCTCCACTTAGCCCCAGCAATTAGTTCTTTTGGGCTTGTTTGTTTTGCCTTTTCTTTTTTTTTTTTTCCTTCCTGTTGATTCTTGCCCTGTAGCAAACTCCACCAGCAGAGCTGCCCAGGCTTTGTCTGAGCAGGCTGCAAAGTGGTTCGTCCTTTCCGTGATGCTCTGGGAGGGCTCCCGAGGCTGTCCAGGCTCAGGCCGGCACTGTTTAAATCCTTTCCAGAGAGAAGAAGAACGACTTTACGAGAAAGAACAAGTGCCAGGTCACAGCTCTGGGTATCAGGGGGGAAGGAAGAGGGGAGGCAGCTTTGCAATATCTCCTCTCGGTGTAAGAGAGCCATTATAGGCTGATCATGACTGTCCCTGTGCCCGAGCACTGTGGCAGGAGATGTCTATATTCCAGTGTAAGGCAGAGGGCTCGCTGGCACGGCCAGCAGCCTCCCGCAGAGGGCCCCTTCGTG